TTTTTTTACATACACATTTAAGTGACATTGACTACGCTGCAAAAATTATTTTTAAAAATTTAGGCCTTATATTTACGTTTTTATTCATATTTTTAACTTCTCATCTCAATTTTTGGTATTTTGGGGAGAGGGTCTTTTACTACACTATCTTGTTCATTAAGATTTTTATTGAAGAAAGATCTTATCCAGCAAAACATCCTCCTCCATCTGTATCCCCGGCTTTAAGGAAGCACCTTTTCACTACCTCTTTTGTTGATTCTTTGTATTCCCACTTCTTAGTATTTATTTCCATGGTCCTATTTGTCGTAAAGCTTCCTTACACACATCAGATAAAATGCTCTTTTTCTCATTCTTCAAATCTTTCTCCAAAAGACCATAATTCACTAAGAAATAACCACATTTCTAGATTTCATTGCTTTGTTTTCTTTTTTGCATGTTTATGTATTGGGAACAGTTTGTATTTTATTCATATTTGGAAGATATTTCTACATTCTCTTGATTTTAATAAATTGTATTACTGTTTAAAATTACCTATTTTTTTTTTGTTAGGGACGTATTTTATCTTCGTTAATCTTTTAAAGCTGTTTTATAATGAATAATATATATAAATTAGCATATATAGTTATGAAAGGCAATGAAGCTATAGACTTACTAGAGCTATGAATAAAACAAAATATTTTTTAGAAGACTTATTCCACTTAGTTACCACTGTACTGGATTGTCTTTGAAATTAGTTGGTTGTAGCTTATTTCTTGTATTTCATTATTTCCATTAAACTCAGATTGCAGTAACTACAATGCTATTATACCCCTTAGTTCAGTGTCAAAGCAAAAATAGATTAAATGGGCAATTAATACCAAAAAATTATTTTATCACCTCTGGGTATTATCCTAGAACAAGATATTGTGATGGTGGGAAGAAAATTTGCAGGCCTTAAAAAGACATAGCGTTTTGGTTGGTTGGACTGGCATATGAGCTCTATTGTTGAAGAAACCCTTGGTACAAAACTTTCTCTCTGTGCTGATGCTTATGTCCGAAACTGCACTATTAAGAGTTTTGTTTTTTGAAATTATCGGCCCATATTAAAATAAGAATATCTCTGGAGGGTTGACATTCAGATATGTAACTAACAATTAGAGTGAATAAATTTATCAGTTTTTTTCCAACATGACATCCAGCTGAAAATAGGTTTGGAAAGAAGAGGGTAAAAAAATTGTTCCAGCATAGGGGGCACTTGGAGAGAGTAGACTTCTTTTGGAAGCCTGGGCAAAGGAAGCATAATGGCACTAGGAAGTGAGGGGGCATGAAAAGTAGCTTAGAAGATCTGGTAATGCATTTGCAATATTCACTATTTTGTCTGTTAGTGGTATGAGGCTCATCAGCCAACCAGAAAACCTTTGGCTATGCATTAACAACTTTCAACTCTAAAAACTATGAGCAGTTTAAATAACTTTATTATAATGGGGTCAAAACTTAAGAATAGCATATGATGCTATCTAATGATAATTTTAGGTATACATTTTTTATGTTATAAGTTATAAAATATGTTAATTAAAATTAAAAATAAGTCACTTCATAGGTATATGTATGAACCATAGACAAGTTATTCTTTCTTCTTATTGTACAGAATACATGAAATTTTTTAGACACATAAAATAGAAAACACAAGACTGAACTCATTTAAGACAGGGAATACTTTATTCAAAACCCATCAGAGAAATGGACAGCTTGGGTCTGTGACAAAGCATTCATGTTTTAAAGCATAGGTCAGTAATTGTATATGAAAGTATACATTGCTACATACAAATTAACTGATCAGACAGACCACAACTTTTCAATGTTTAAAACAGAATAAGCTTCCCTGTAAAAGCAGCACCTTTGTGACATATTAACTTTAGTATTCTTCTCCTTCTTCTTCACCCTCTCCTTCAACAGAATCCACACCAACCTCCTCATAATCCTTCTCGAGAGCAGCCATGTCCTCACGGGCCTCAGAAAACTCTCCTTCCTCCATTCCCTCACCCACGTACCAGTGAACAAAGGCACGCTTGGCATACATCAGGTCAAACTTGTGGTCCAGGCGAGCCCAGGCCTCAGCAACAGCTGTGGTGTTGCTCAGCATGCACACAGCCCGCTGTACCTTGGCCAGGTCTCCACCAGGCACCACAGTGGGAGGCTGGTAATTAATGCCAACCTTGAAGCCAGTGGGGCACCAATCCACAAACTGGATGCTACGCTTGGTCTTGATGGTGGCAATGGCAGCATTGACATCTTTGGGAACCACATCACCACGGTACAACAGGCAGCAAGCCATGTATTTACCATGGCGGGGGTCACATTTCACCATCTGGTTGGCTGGCTCAAAGCAAGCATTAGTAATCTCTGCTACAGAAAGCTGTTCATGGTAGGCTTTCTCAGCAGAGATGACGGGGGCGTATGTGGCCAGAGGGAAGTGGATGCGGGGGTAGGGCACCAGGTTGGTCTGGAATTCTGTCAGATCGACATTCAGGGCACCATCAAATCTGAGGGAAGCAGTGATAGAGGACACAATCTGACCAATAAACCGATTAAGGTTAGTATAGGTTGGGCGCTCAATATCAAGGTTTCTACGACAGATGTCATAGATGGCCTCATTGTCTACCATGAACGCACAATCTGAGTGCTCCAGGGTGGTGTGGGTGGTGAGGATAGAGTTGTAGGGCTCAACTACAGCTGTGGAAACCTGGGGGGCTGGGTAAATAGAGAACTCCAGCTTGGACTTCTTGCCATAATCAACTGAGAGGCGTTCCATCAGCAAAGAGGTAAACCCAGAACCAGTTCCCCCACCGAAGCTGTGGAAAACCAAGAAGCCCTGAAGACCTGTGCACTGGTCAGCCTGTTAGAAAAGAGAAGAATAGAGAAAAGATAGTTATTGCTTTTTGTGATACAAGCATAGTTAATGTTTTCTTTTTCTATACATCTCCAAGGATTTAAATCTTATTTTGACAAGAAACACTTTTTTAAAAAAATGTAGATCTGCGTGGAATTATTCAGCATCACTTCATTAAAAACATCCTCATTAATATTTATAAAGTGACACCAAATAGTTCATGTCATTAAAAAAAAATCTAAAGTTGTAGTATCATCCCCTTCTTTATTTCCATTTTAATTCCATATTAGAAAAAAATAGCATTTATTTCAGATATCTTCCAAAGGCTTATTAATTTATTTTATTCTTAAGAATAAACATACCAATTTTCTAATTCGATCCAGAACCAAGTCAATGATCTCCTTGCCAATGGTGTAGTGCCCACGGGCATAGTTATTGGCAGCATCTTCCTTGCCTGTGATGAGCTGCTCAGGATGGAAGAGCTGGCGGTAGGTGCCAGTGCGAACTTCATCTGCAAAGGAAAACAAAGTGGCCACCCATCGCTAACTACCTGCACAAGCCTATCAGTGCAGCCCCCCAGTACAGAGCTCAGTGCCAGGCCCCTGGGATCTTACTAGGGCTCCTGAGTTCAACTTACCAATGACCGTGGGTTCCAGGTCCACAAACACTGCCCTGGGCACGTGTTTGCCAGCGCCCGTCTCACTGAAGAAGGTGTTGAAGGAGTCATCTCCTCCCCCAATGGTCTTGTCACTTGGCATCTGGCCATCCGGCTGGATGCCATGTTCCAAGCAGTAGAGCTCCCAGCAGGCATTGCCAATCTGGACACCAGCCTGGCCAACGTGGATGGAGATGCACTCACGCTGTAGGAAGGAAAAGAGAAAAAAAATGTAAAATTCGGCTGTATTTGCATTTTGAATTTTCAGTAAGTCTCTAAAAGCATTTCTAGTGATATATTCTTCAAATGTATTTGAAGTCATATCCCTAACATAATAAAAATGGTTGAAGAATAGCACCTGCTACAAATGCTGTAGATGGGTGTGGTCTGAATAATAAAGTCTCTGTGGCCCTGTTCAGCATGTGGTGCATACCCACTGTTGCTACAGCTGTGCTTGAATAGAAGATTTTTCATATTTAAAAAATATTCAAAGCACAGATTTTGTAAAATGAAGTAAATAAAATTTAATGATTAATTAATTAGAATTTAATTTCTCCCTTAAAAATGATGAGGTTTTTTTCTAAATAGGACTTGGTGCAGCTGAGGCTGGAAGCCACACCCTTCTGCAGTCTGCAGAATCCATCAATACTAGGGGGTTAGAAGCTAAACAAGATCGGCTTCCTGCATTGCTGCATTGCTGTATTTGCTGTACCTAGTGCGAACCTGTACTGCCTGCTACATTATTTAACAGAGCAAGCTCTATTTCCAGCAACTGCCTACATGATCTCATTGTGCTGTTTTGCTAGTTTTCTTCCTCTGACCTAGCCTGGGTCCATGTGCCTGAATTGAAATGAATTAATGAAGAGGCACTAGAACAAAGACGGCTGGATGCAGAGTATAATTCTTCTTTGTCTGCAGCAATTTTCATTTAAACAATTTTTTTCTCTGGAATCTTCTCCACTGCAAAAAACTGGAAATTAGTATCCTTAAAACAGCAGTTCCTACGTTAGAAACAAATATAACATGAGATGCTACCAAACAATAAAAGCCCAGTGAGAGGATACGAAAATATTTAATGCAACAAAATAGTATTTCATTCTGGGATTCTCTACCCACCGCAGACTATTTATACTCATCACATTCAGTAGAAATTTTCTTGCCTTTGGTCTTTAAGGCTACAACTTCCATTGTCTATTCACTGACATATTGGAGAGGGGGGTGGCGGGAAAGGGCGTTTCCCTGGGTCCTGAGCAGAAAGGTAATTTGGTTCACAAAGGGGCTTTCTCTCTCGCAGAATTGCAGACAGACAGACAGACACACACACGCGCGCGCGCGCGCGCGCGGTCAGGGCAGGGCATCCCCAAACCAGACATTTAAAGAAGCTTGTCAAATGAACTGTGATTTTGCTCAAGGGGAAAGAAAAAATCAAATTTTAACAGTGAATAAAAAACCTTTTGACGCCTACAGTTCCTCAGTGATTAAATGCTTTTATTAAGTCTTCTGACAGAGGAGTTATAGGGCGAACCCCGCCCAGTGGCCCCAACGCCGGAGACGCAAGAAACAACTCCTCCCTTGCGCCGCCCTTGCGCTGGGCTGCCAAGGGCTCCAACAGAAACTAACAATTTTTTCCCCGTTAACATACGGGTATCTATCTAAAATACCAATGTAGTGACGAGGGATCTTTTTACATTAATCGAAAGCTTTCCTTTGTCCTTGTCCTATCCCCCAGCTACACCTTCGCACCCCGTTCCTTTTGGGCGATTCTCCCTCTCCCTGCATTTGGGGAATGACGCGAGAAAGAAAGCAGCTTGTCTGAATTACCCGAATACCGTACACGTACACGAAGCCGAGCAGGCGACGGACGCCACGATCGCCTTTCCCAGCCCTAGACATTTTTTCATCACCGATAGGCCGAGGCGTTCAGCTGTTCGCAGCACTGAAGATCGGATTACAAAAACTCCGCTTGTTCTTCCCCACCGTTCTGCGCTGTGCGCGCCGTTTGTCGCTAGTCTGCACCCCGCACTGCGGCAGCAGGGCTTAAGGATTTGAGGCAGACAAAAGCTAAACCTCTCAAACAAAGCATAAGGCTACCCTTGCCCAAGGAGACAGCAAAGGAAAAGGGTTTAAGGTTTTCCAAGTAGCCTCTGGGGAACTGAGCCCACCAAACTGCCACAGAGAGCCGGAGAAAGCAGATTCTTACCATGGTTGCTGCTTCGCAGTTCCAAGCAGATGGCGGAGGGAAAGAGGAGAGGTTGTTGCTTCTTACAGCGTGACTCTTAGGCGGTCGATGTAAGAGAACCTGCAGCACATGGGCGGATGCGGCTCCCTATATACAGCTCGGTCACCATGGGGATGGGCCGGGGCCTTTTCCTGTTGGTCCAGACCCCTCGATCTGCCCAGAGAAGCCACGACAGGAGAGTGGTGATTGGTGCAAGCGACATGGGATGAGGTAATCTCTCCCCCACCCCTTTTTCCCTAGCATCCACAGACTGTTTGCATCCTTCAGACAAAGAGACCAAGCAAAAGCAGTCAGCCGAGCATCCATTAAGGGGTGGGGTCGGGGGGTGGGGGGAGGAAGAAAGAGGACTGGTGTAGTATGATTTTATATTGCTTAAACTTTAAACTACAGTTAAAATCACCTATGTGAGGTTTTTCACTACGCTTAATCATAGATTTTTGTGTTGAGATGAAATATTTCATGTAAAATTACACCCAGCCCCTCCCTCACAGTATACTAAACTCGACTGCATTCGATTAGGATTAAATATCCCCACTTGCTTTAAAACTCATGTAGGAGAGAAGATGGGAGTGATGCTTAAAATGGCTTGAGTAAATGTGAGTTATTCATTTATTTATTTTTGTTATTTAAAACAGTTCAATAAAGCCAATCAATATGGTTTCTCGGGGAAAGTAATTTTCAGACTTTCTTTTGCACTACCCACCCCCCCAACAGCTAAACACAAACGGAAATGCAAAGAATAACCATACTAAACAAGGAAGCACACAAGGAGTTCTAACGAAGTAATAATTAAGATCTAGTGAACATACAGTAGTTAAATAATCTACTAGGAATAGTCATTTACCGGAAGTCTATGTAGTATTTTTTGTATGATGTATTGTCCGTAAAAATGAATCATCTTTCCTGACATAGAGCTGGGAAATACAAGGGGAAGGAATAGATTTCAGAGGCTAATACTACCTGTGTGTGCAGTTATATTTCTGCATTGTTCTCTTTTCTGGAAAGTAATAATCAAAACAATAACCGAGATTAAATTAAAATCAGAAGAGAAATATGTAATGTAAAAAGACTATTTTGTAATGTTGCCTCCTTCTACAGACATTTGTATGCTGTGAGCTCAATCACTGCATTACTTTTTTATGTAGTTCTTATGTGAATTCAGTAATTACCGTCTGTGGTTGGGTTTCTAAGTGTGGGAATTGTAGCTAGCCTCACACCGTTGCTATTCAAGCAAAGACTCTGGTGGTTGCTCAATTGCCCCTTGGGGACAAAAAGGCTTTGCTTCACCCCCAGGAAGTGGATTGCAGTAACATTCTTTTGCTATTTAGAAAGGCTTCATTATCAACAAGGATGGGCTATGCGGAATAAGTCTCTGAACTGGGTACTACCTGATGTTGCTGATGAAATTTCAGAGGTAAACTGATTTGAAGTTGAAAAATTACATTTAGGCAGATAATTTTTTCCTTTTAGGTTGGAGCAACAGATTTTTAGGGTCTGCAGCATCAGCACCGTTTACAGTGCTCTGCGGAGCAGCCCATTCATTCCTGCCGGGCTGGCAGGCAGAGCAGGGCGTTGGAGGGAGGGACTTGAGACAGCTGCTGCAGGTTGTGATCTGACAGTGGCAGCCATGGATTTTTCCAGCCTGCCATCCACAGCTCTTCCTTGCTTGTTCAAATTTGCTGCTGTAGTCTTCTCTAGGAAAAAATAAAACCCAATACGCAAATCATTTCACCTACTTCTTGCATATTTCATAGGAAAATAATCCTCAACATCATCTTATCTCCATCCTTTTAGCAAATAAAAATATATTTCAGTAAAGAGATAGGATTAAGGATGACTTGAATCTTATATGCTTCTTTCTGAACCCAAAAGCAAATTTAGCCACCAAAAATAAGAATTAAATGGGATAGGTGAGCATAAAGAATAATAAGTAGCTCATTCAAAATACTTCTTTCGACCTTTTAATAATTAAATACATCAGACCCTGCTGGACCATAAGAAAGTGTACATATCTCCTTTTTTGAAATGAGAGATGCAGTCTTGAATTTTATTTTCTTCACAGTATAAAAGATTAATTAAGAAATATATCGTTTCTCCAATAGCTCAGTTCTTTATACAATTTACAGAGGACTAAATAAAAGAGAAGAGGGTTTATGAAGTTGTTTCTTTGTAATTCTATCTTAGATCCATTCTGTTCTTATGTAAATGAGTTTTTTCCCCCTCCGTGGGCCTAAGTAACAATAAGATCTAGGTCAGAAATAGACTATTTGAGCATTGCTAATCTATTAAATATACAAATGGGAGAGCAGGGGAAATAGCTAATCTGTTCTTTTGTTCCTCATCTGACTTAATAGCATGCAACTAAGGGAAGCAAAATTTTTTACAAGTTCATGTCTTTTTACTGCCAGTTTCTTTAACTTAGATTAATATAAATGTATACATATTCTGGTAATGGATTTATTCTTGTACACAGTAAGGTTAGCATAAAATAGTCTTTCTTTTATAGTATGTGTGGAATTTTAATTATTTGCATGTCTACACCTCTCCTCCATTAAAATGTGAGTCCTAGTCCTCAGCAAAGTGCCTCGCATACAGTAGACATGTTTGTTGAATTAAATAATTGAATGAACAGCTTCTTTATGTTTATATTTTCATTTACTATTATGGTTAGTAATTTAAAGGTATTTAGTAAAGTATTTTGGGATCCCTGGGTGGCACAAACGGTTAAGTACTCGACTACTGGCTGAAAGATTAGCAGTTCAGACCCATCCAGAGGTGCCTCAGAAGACAGGCCTGGCTGTCTGCTTCCAAAAGGTCAAAGCCTTGAAAACCCTATGGAGCAGTTATACTCTGCACACATGGTGTTCCATGAGTTGGAAGTGACTTGACAACAACTAACAATGAGTAAAGTATTTTAACTTTTATATTCAACAATCATTTACTGAGTATCTACAGTGAACCCTGGACCATCCTAGGTAATGTGGGAATTCGAAAGTAGTAACATGGCCTCTTTTCTCTAGAATCTTCAAATCTAGTTGAAGAAGTAAGACATGTACATGAATATACATTTCAGAAAGGCATGTGTTATGTGAGTAAGGGGGGAAAGAAATGCTTGTAGAATTCATTGCATGACCCCATGTATCATAACTTATACTATAGGAAACGAGAGTTGTCTAATGCTTTTTCACCTGCTTTACCTGCTATTCATCCCTAAATCCATTCCAGTCTGGATTCTGCTCCCACTACTCCTTGAAACTAAATGTCCTCCGTGTTTGTTGCAAAATCCACTGGACACTTTTTAGTTCTTGTTGACTTGTGATAAGCTTTGTCACAGTTGACTATTATTTCTTTCTTGAGGCACCTTATTCCCTTGGCCTCAAAAACTCTACATTTTTCGTGTTTCCTTCCTACAACTTTTGTTTCTTCTTAGTCTTTGCTGGTTCCTCCTTCCCTCCCTAACCCTTAAATGTTGGAATTCCTCAAGATTCAGTCCTAGACCTTTCCTTCATTTCATTCTATGCACCTTAGGGTATCCTCCTCTCCTAGGAGAAGTGCATCCCTTCCCAGGGCTTCAAATCTTTTCTGTATCCTGATAACTTCTTGACATTTCTTCTGAACTCAAGGTCATAATAGTAAACTTTCAATTATGTATTGATTTCTCACAAATATCTCAAATCGAACTAACTATTTTCTCCTCAAACATGCACCTATTATAAAGTTATCTTGCTCAGTAAGTGGAGCAGTATGCACCCAGTTTTTCAAATCAGAAACTTGAGCATTATTCTTGATACCTCCCTCTTCTTTTATGACTACCATAGAATCAGTCCCTACGTCCCACCCTAAATATCTCTTAAATCTTACTCTTTTCTCTCCACCTCTCCTACTTCTACTCTGGTACATTATCTCTTGCCTGGACAACCTCGGTGCCCTCACAGAAGATTTCCTCCACATTAACTCCTACTCACCCTCTAGTTCAGTCTCCCAGTCTCCACGTAACAGCTAGAATGATCTTAGTAAAATATGTATTTGACCTCACTCCGCTGCTTAAAGCAGACCAATGACTGCCTGTTAATGTTAAGATGAAGATCCC